CTTTGGCCTAAAATTGTTACACAAATTTTTCAATCTACCATTTCTGCAACTACAACGCGAGACACTGTTGAAGCAACTTGAGACCAATGAAGAGGAGACGCGTTTAACTATCCAGGAATTAGATCTCTTCCAGGACAGCGATGACGCTGATTACAATAAATTCCTAGACAATCTTGTGAATCGTAGAAGAGCCCTTGCCGATTCAGTGTCCGCTAGCAATCTAGTCTCAAATGTTGTTCCGTTGACTATGAGTAATTATCAGCTTACAGCTTCCAACACAAATGCCACCGGAGAAGTCAAAAGATCGGTCTCGATGCCCGGTCCGATCGGAGGTGGGACTCCAATACCGGTAAAAAATTTGGAAATAAAACCGAGGAAGGAGAGCTCTACGGCGAGCACATTAGATAATGTAGTTAATTCCACGAAAACATCACAAATTACGACATCTGTTTCGCAAAATTCCACTGTTAAAATAGAAGTGATTAAACCAGTTGAATCCACCAATAACAATAGTGAGAGGAGAGATTCACTCAATCGGTCGTCACTCATGTCCAAAATCTTTGGTCATAAGAAGGAAGATGAGACAGACGGGAAATTGCCAAATATTAAAAATGTTAATTTGAATGCACCATTGACTAATGTTGAAGACTTTGTGCCGGATGGAATGCTAGACAAATCATTTTTGGAAGGCTGCAATCTGAGCCCTAATTCCCTTACTCCAGAACCGGACCCTGCACCAGCTCCAGAAGAGGCAGAATCTGAGAGGTAAGCAAAAAGCTTTCTAAAAAAAAGCTTTAATATTTTTAAAAAATATAAGTAGAACACACAAACCGGAAAATCATATAATTATACAATTATTATATTGTAGTTTATAAAGTAATTTACTTTTTGTATTTAATTTTATTTTAGTTAGAAATTTACTTACGTAAATTATCATTATTTTCTTAAAATCTTTAATTCTCTTGTATTTATCTTTTTATTTTCGTACATATCAATAGTTTTTTTTTATTCTGATTTTAGTAATGTAATTCTCTATATTTTTCAATATATTACAAACATAATTAATACATACATATTACTAAGAATTGTATTTTCCATGTTATTGCAAGTAGTAATTAATTGTAAGTAGTAATTAATCGGTATTAATATATTATCACAATATTTTTACAGTGACATGGAGACTGGTAATCCTCTGGTAGCCGGTTACGAGGATGACTTGTCATCCATTGAAGAAGTAGTTTCTCCTATACAACCGAAATTATCAGAGAATCCGCTATCCAAACAAAAACACAAATTAGAACCGTTATCAGGTCCAGAGAAAAATATCGAGCAGCCAAATCAAGTCACAAAAAGCAATTCTGTTTCTTCTATAGAACAAGAATTGCAGATCTCCAATGAATATGAGTCAAACGAGCAGCCAGACATAAACTCGGACGCTTTTGATAGCTGGTTACGACGGGATTCCAAATGGCGACAAAGTCCTGAAGGAGGTGAGGATGTGAGTAGTACTAGTACAAGGAAGGATAGACTAGAATTGAGCGATAAAAGTCTGGACGTTAGCATGACAAGTTCTAATGTTCATCTGGAGCTACTCGATGATACTAGTGTGCGCCACATAAGCTCCAATGCTAGTAGTCCGGTGATGAAAGAAAAAAAGAAACATAAAGAGAAGGTAATTGTCTTCAACAATAATTTATGAAAAAAGATTCTTAGTTGATCTAGAGAGCGTTTTTTTCTAATTCTTTAATTGATTTTGAGTTGTGGATTTATTATTTATTTTTTTTGTCGATTTTAGGGGGATGAAAAGGAGAAAAGGAAAAAGAAGAAGTCAAAAGACAAAGATAGAGATAAGGAGAAAACTGAGAAAACCGAAAAAAAGAAAAAACGCTCGTCGCTTCGATCGAAGGACGAAAATCGAGAGCGAGACGAGCTTGAGGAATTTTTGAACGGCTCTGTTACGAGAATTGGCATTGATATGGCCTACGAGGCAATTTAGCATTCTGTGTTTGACATAATGATAGGGAATATTACAATTCTTAATTCTTATACTTAAACAGTTGTTAAAAGCGCCACGCATCTTCCAGAAAGACTTCGCTCTCTTCGATGTAATGTATATTACGCTTCCCCGAAAGCGGAGGAATAAGATTATTTTTTGCGAAAAAAGAATAATGTGTTTCGAATTGCGGTGTTAATCTGCGAAAGAATATACTCATTCCGCAAACAGTGAGACGTCCGTTTTGGAGCTGCTTTAACCCGTATTTCAATCGGGCTCAGTATCTCAGTCTGCCACGATAAAAGTTGTGATTTTGAGTGATACATTTCAGCGATCAACTATGCACTTCTTTATATTGCATTTCTCATTTTGGATATTTGACGATTTTTAACGTACATTTGAGAAATCGTACGCGATGAGTTTGTTGCGTGAATGGATACAGTACGCGAATATTCTTATACCCCGTACGTAATATGTTGACTATGTGACATTATAACGGCATATACATATTTATTTATTACACTTTCTATTTTTAATATTTGTGTTCACTTATAATAAGATATGTATATTTATCGTTGATACCATTTATAAATTTTCTCTTTAGCCTATGCGTTCTAATACATATATGCGCTCTGTCCTTGTTGAATATAATTCTTTTAAAAAAGTTATACTATATAAATGTTACGTTATTGTTGTATTTTTCATAACGGTGTATAGCATTGTATAGCATGCAGCTTCATGTTAATAAATGTATATAAAACAAACAAAATGTCTTATTTCTATAATCGCAGTTTTGAAAGATACACTATGTTCTAAAAAAAATGTTACTAATTTAATTTCAGCTCATTTAATCTCGAAAAACGCTAGAATGGTCCATTTTAGATTCCTCTCTGGTAATAGTACAGAGAGAAACCTAAATGATTTGAAAGTGGATGCCTGTGTTTTTAAATTAAATTTGCTATTGATGTCTCTATATGCACGAAGAACTATATAAGTATGGATGTTTCTGGTAAGTGACACATCCATAGTCTTTTTCTAAGAGGCACTCCACTACCTTTACAGATTACAATCGATGATATTTTTTTTATGTTTCAGCAAATTGACGTCATTTTTACATCGAAATAACATTAAATACATCATTATGATGTCAAATGATGATAAATAAATGTCAACCTGCTATCTAGATTGTCCCTTCTTTTTTTACTTTTAATACAACACACTACACAATAAAAATATATTACAATAAAATTATGTATACATTTTTCTGGTAATTAATCTAGTAAAAACAATTTATGTAAGTCCTCTACCACTTGCGTAGATTCTAATTAGCGGACCTCTTTTCTTTTGAAACAAGGATGGAAATAACGCATTATTTGTAACACTGTTATCGTTACTTTTTTTACAATAACAAAGTAATGACGTTACAATTTTTCATATCGATAATTAAGACCAGAATTGGAAAAGTCACTTCTGGAAAGTAACTTTTGTTACTATTTATTTATTGAAAAATATAACATCACTTTACTCGTAAACTAGTGAAGATTACTAATACGTTATTCATTAGTCATTAATAACTAAAGTAACGAAGTAATTTTTTTCATTAAATAATGAGTTATTTTTAGATATAAGAATACGCATTTTCTGCACCATTACCGTTACTTGTTTATAATACTACAATTTTTTATGGAGTTTATAATATTACAATTTTTTAACTATAATTATCGAATACCTTAGTCCAACTCCTTCCGAGTCGTTTTTCTTGAGTTAAATTAATGACTTTTAATCAAATTTTGCTTCATCTTCTAAAGGTGTTCGTTTAGGAATAAAATTAATAAGTTAAAATTGCGAGGGCGCGCTTGGAGGGTAAGTCAAAAGAATCTTGTTTTAAATTATATATTTATTACGTTTAACAAAAAAGATAAGACAAACATTAATTATTAAGTTTTAGAATAATAAAGGAAGGTAATTTTAATGACGATGTTACAACAGTATAGTTTATCCGAATCTGAATCAACAATTGAATCAATTTTCATCTGAATCTTTCAACAATTTAATTATATTTAATATAATAAGAAAACTCTTAAGCCGTTCGAGGTCTGAACCAATCAAACCCCGTAGTTAATGATGTGCGCAAGGCACCGCGCCAAACAGTTGAGTGAGCGCTCGCTATTATTGGTGTATTCTTCCAGATCTAAAATTCTGATTGGATGATCTAAAAGAATACACCAATAACAGCGAGCGCTCACTCAACTGTTGAGTCCGTTGAACGCGCCCTAATTCTCGTGCTGTTTACCATCATTTATCCGTCACAGCTGACAGCGAAACGATTACACGTGAAACAAATATTTTGGAATATCTTTTTTATTGGACCTTCGATGCAAGCTTAGGATTATTTGTGCACGTTATACGCTTGGGGTACCATTTGGTATGTACGACCTACAGAATTTCTACAATAAGTAAATTATAACCTCAAGTGACAGCTGTAAGAGCTGAAATAAGTGAATTTTTCATTTTTTTTCTCCAATTTTCTTATAAAATTTAGCATTATCCATATTATTTTGATGTGTACTTTCATCGTGTGAAAAAATTTCATGATCTATAAAGCCAATTCGGAGAAAATGGTTCACTGTAATTGTTGGTCATTCCCGTTGCTTTAGGTCCTTTAGGATCTTCTTAAAGATTGAAGATTGAAATTTGGCCAATCAAAATAATAGGAGTAAGATTCCTTTATTTTCATTGGTCAAATTTCAATTTTTCGATCTTCAATCTCAATCATCAATGCGTAGTCTGATTCCGGCCTTAAATGTATTGTGATATTATTACATGTTCATTATTTGTATCTAAATAAAATGGAAATGCTATTAGGTTTTTTGTAGTATATATATTTATATCATGGACAGAAACTATCAATAAAAAGCTATTTAATTTTTTTGTTAGGAAATTCTACAAGTGATGTATTAATGACGTTGGCATTAAAAGTGGAAACATTAAATAAAGATACGTTCCATCAGGAAAAAGGTCATATGTATTAAGTAAATTGATGAAATTGGACTGTATATTTATAGTCAAGCATTATTTTTTCAACAAAATGCCTTACTATGCAGTAGCCATGGGTCGAAAACCTGGAATTTATGCTACATGGTAAAGAAATTAATTTAATTAATAAATTATCAGCAAAAGGAAATTCACACGGAATTGTAATAGTATCTAAGATCCAGCTTGACTATTAAAGACAATTTCTTATTGGTTGTATTTCTCACATATACGATCTATAAGATTTAATATTTAAATATTGTTAAATAAGAGTTTGTTCTGTTTTTAACAGGGACGAATGTAGTGCTCAAGTTCTTAAATTTCCTGGATCAATATATAAGAAATTTGCAACAGAAAGCGAGGCTCAAAACTTCATAAAAGAGCGTTCTTCTTCAACTATAGGAAAAAATTCTACTAAAAGCTATGCTTCATCAATTGTGAAATCTGCAAGGTAAATATTAACTCGTCACTGGTAATATAAAATTTTTAATCATAATCTATATTCTCTATTATTGAGGTTTACAACAGACTTTTTTTATTGATTTAAATTATACAAAAATCTGAACAATTCTTATATATTTTTAAACCTTTAACGAGTTTTTACCATAATAGAAGTAAAGTTATTTCACTCCCTTTTTATAGATTTAAATGTAAAATTATGTTTAAACATCATAATGTGATATAAATTTTTATATGAGTAAATAAAAAAAATCTTTAAACTGAAGTAGTTGAGGGTATTATTTAAAAAAGAAAATATAATATGATGTTTACTTTGAAACGTTAAATTATTTGAGAAAAATGAAGATTTTTATAAATAAAAAAGTCTCAAGCTTTTTGGGAAAAAATAAAATTATTGCAATACCAAATTCCTATTCGTTTTCTTAAATTTTTCACAATTAAAAAATTGACTATGTCTTAAAAGATCCCGCATTGCCGGTGGAGGATAACAATTCCTGTTTAATATAAATAAGAAAAAAGTATTGCAAAATTAATGGAACTCTGAAATCTTATTACAATATAATATCGTTTAAAGCTAATATTTTATGTAGATCTCAAATGTTGCCGAAACAACTGTTTACACTTGGTCGTAAGCAGTCTGCACTAGTTCAGACAAAACCATTATTATCAATTTCAAAAAGGACATTATCTTCAAGTGACGATAGTAATGAACACCCAAGCAAAAAGAGAAAAATAGCGGACATTTCAAACTATTGTCTTCGTTGTGTAGCTCCTCTTGACCAGGTTTGAAATTACTAGTACATCAATAAAGCTTCTTAAAAACTAAACTAATCAACTCTAATATTTACAAATTTTTTAATTTTAATATCAAAGCCCATAATTTATAATTTCATCGATTTTTGTAATTCATGAAGTTGATAGAAATGATCAGTATAGTCTCTGAGAGTTTTATGTGATTTAAAAATAAAAAATAAATTATATTATCAAAATATATTTCATAAATTTGGAATTATATAGGATGACAAAGCGAATTTTATCATGGATAAAGACGACTATGTGAACGTTTTTACGGATGGTGCCTGCAGTTCAAATGGATATAAGAATGCACGAGCCGGTATTGGTGTTTGGTTTCGAGACAACCATCCCTTGTACATTTTATTTTTCAGTTTTATCAATTGACTATCGAAACTCAATCTACATATAATAGTTATAATTTTCGTAGAAATGTATCTGAACCGGTAGACGGACGACCTACTAACAACATGGCAGAGATTCAAGCTGTTACAGTAGCTGCAAAACAAGCGAAAAAGGCAGGGATCAAGAAATTGAAAATCAACACTGATTCTAAATTTCTCATCTCCTGCATTACGCAATGGATGCCAGCGTGGAAGAAAAGAGGATGGAAGACTGTGGGTAACAAACCAGTTATAAACAAAACAGAATTGTTGGAAATGGAGAAAGAATTAGAGAATTTGACTGTTGTTTGGGTAAGCAACTTTTTATTTAAGTTTTATATATATATATACATATATAAATGTTTATATAATTAATATAACATAAATGTACTATGTATATATATTGTAAAAGTCAGGGAATGGAAGTAACTCGTTACTTGTAACGAAGTTACAGTTACAAGTTACTTTTTTGGTAACTTTACTGGTAACTGCGTTACTTTCTTTTTTTGGTAACTGTAACGGTAACGAGTTACATTTTTTGGGTAACGGTAACGAAATTTACAGTTACTTTTGTCGTTACTTTGCACACGATTGAACACGGTTCGATTGGATACATGCTATTTATAGCGCTTATCAATAAGACTTGAAAGCCCTTAGACATTCGGCCGTTATGATTCAGTAATTATTTTACACTTCTATCTTCTATGTAATACATAGGACATACAAATATTTCAATTTGCTGCATATTTTACAGGTTTTAGAATTACAAAATTGTGTTTAAAAAAAATTAAAAAATAAATTAAATAATAGTAAAATGAGAAGGGTTACGAGCCAAAAATGAAACAGTTTATTTCCGATAAGAACGACGATGACAATGTAATTAAATGTATAAATATATATTAGAACAACAACATGGATAAAACAAGATAAAAACAAACGACGTTTCGACACTTATTGTCATCGTCTTTTAAACTGTTTCGCTTTTGGGTTCATAGCCCTACTCATTTTACTATTATTTAATTTATTATTTGAGCCATTCTACATTGTTTTTTTTTTTTTTAATAAAACTATATATTTGTCAGTATTACATATAAAAAAAAAAATGCAAAAGTACATTTTTAAATTGATTTTAAAAAAGTAACGGAAAAGTAACGAAAAGTGATTTTTCAAGTAACGGTAACTGTAACGAGTTACTTTTAAAAAGCGATAACTGTAACTGTAACTAGTTACATTTTTTACTCGGTAACGAGTAACTGTAACTAGTTATTTTTAAAAAGTAACTTTCCATTCCCTGGTAAAAGTATGAGGCATTTAATCTTCTAGAATCATGTGAATGGACATGCAGGAATTTATGGTAATGAAATGGCAGACAAATTGGCAAGAGAAGGCTGTTTGCGATATAAAAATAAAGTTGAATAAAAGATAAAAGTACAAGTATACTTCCTATAAATTGTATCTTAAATTATTTGTTTATATTTGCATATGTAAACTTTGTTACAGAAAACATTGTGTAGACATTATACATAAAATTAATAATGCATAATATATTAATATAATTTTCTTTTTTCAGTACACTATTGTAAAAATAATGTGATTAGATACAAAATAAAATTGAAGAATAAATTATTGTACTTATACATATGGGCAGAAATTATTACTATATATATAATACTATATACATATATCCTCCAACCATTGCTAATTCGTGACTTGAATCAGTTTCAACACTTTGTTGGCTGAAAGTGCCTGTGCTTTGGGAATCCTAATAACTCATTGATTCATCTGAAAAATGTAAACAGTTTTTTTAATATTGAAAAAATAATTAAAATTTATTTTATGTTTTACCTATTTGAGTTGTAGCATCGACAGACTCAATACATTCAAGGCCACCTATGTGACCTCTTCGACCTGGTTCTCGTTGACAACTTAAGAACTCCATTTTTTCTTTAGATATCATATTTATTATATCTGTATGTGCGATGTCGAATAAGTTATCGAAATTCGAAACGAATTCTTGTTCTTTGTTTTGCTGGCCAATTGATTTACGGTTAGAATTTTTTCGTAATTTATCATAACTATCATAAAGTTTCTCTACTTTTTCAATGCATTTTTGTTTTCTTCTTGTCATAATTCCTGATTTTTGCCAAAAAATGCAAACTTCGTCAATAACAATTGTTGCACTTTGATGCAGTGATAGGTTTAGCAATTGAGTATTGTACAAAAGAGTTTTCAATATTTGTAAACTTGAAGGCAATTTGTTGCCAACAATCTGAAAACTCAAGTAGCCTACTAAATACACGGATTTTCTCAATTCCATTTTTATTAAAATTTTCTTAAAAAATTCTTTTTATGCGTTCTGTTCTATTTTTATACTTCACTTAATTTCCTAAATAAAATGTATAAATAGATATATATTATTATATTCTGAGTGTAATGAAAATCGTACATCAAAAGACAGTATTCTACAAGTTCTATATATAATTATAATTACTTTGTAATAATAAAATGTATAATTACTACGTAATTAAGTATAAAGATTTGGAAGTAATTTCTTTTTAGAGTATATTTAGGGCCCGCTTTGGCCAAACTCTAATGAATAGGTGCCGGAAGCCCACCTGGTGGCCATTTCGTCAAAACACATGGCTGTGATTTAGTACAGGCCGTGATGGGGACAACGTTTTTTTTTTATAAAGTTCCACAAAAAGACGTTTTTCGAATTTATCCGTATATAATATTAATATATTTTTAATATTTGAAATTGATTTTTAAAGCTATTTCAATCGATGATAATTTCAATAGTCGATATATTATTTCATCAAACAGCTTTAAAAAAATACAAACTAAAAACTAAATAACAATTTATCGAAAAACGCCTTTTTTGGAGGAGCTATGGAAAAAATAAGTTGTTGTCTCCTTATCACGGCCTATACTTAATCACCACAATGCATTGTCAAGAAATGATCACCAGCCTGATTTTGTAACAAGTTTCGTGACTATAAATGAGCAACTGCCTTGGATGAATCTAACAACAGAGACTCTTTCTAAGCTTCAGTTTTTGCTTGATTGCAAGTTTCTATTTTATATTACTACGACTTGTTCTTGCAACCATACTTAGGATCCGTTGCGACTTCCGACTTAAACATACTAATGAAAAGTGCTTGTAATGATTTTCCATTCTACGAACAACAAATTTTGCAAATCATCAGTGAATACCGAAAAGTGTAGCCCGATGCAAAAAAATCGACACTAATAGCAGAAAACAAAAATTATCAATAGAAAAGTGATGTTAATTGTAAAAAAATGAAATGAATAAAAAATATGTCAGAAATTGCAACAAATTAAGATTACTTAATGTAATTCACAATTTTCAATTTCGAAATTTTTTGTCATATCAAAGAATTAATATCACAAACAACATGAAATTGCCAAATTTGAAATAAAAAAAATTGCAGGTAACGAAAAGTGCACGGGACAATTAATAAGAAAGATATTTATCAGCTTGCAGATTTCTCGCGTTCGAAGAAGAGCAATATTAAAGGGAGCGTATGGCGTCCAGAAATTTTTTTTCAATGACGACAGGTATGGCTTTCGAAAGGAAAAAACGTAAGGAATATGATCGTATTTCGTGCAATAACTTACGATTTTTTTCTCTCGAGTTATAGCGAATAAACTAAACCTTCATTTTCTTCACCTGATTTTAGTAAAAAAAAAAACTTCTTCATAAAAACTGCGGTAATTCGGCTACAAATTATCGTTTTTAACTTGTAAGGTGGTCATTTTAATCGCAAAACTATAAGGAATGTGAAATTCAATGGTTCATGATTTTAAAATGCATTCTAACAGAGCTACTGTAATTTTATTGAGAGATTTTAGGCTCTTCTCATTTTTTGGGTGAAAAATTATTGAAGTTCAAAGTGGAATAACTCGGCCGGAAATTGATCGATTTTGTTCCGCCTAGGCTCATTTCACGTGGAAAACATTCAAGAAAAGATATCTCACTTGCTGGATTTTTAGACTGACTGCGGTGGAAATGCCCGAAGAAATACTAAAAAAATGTTTTTTCCCATAAGATTTACGGGTTAATTTTCAACATCGATGAGCCTCCACTTAATCATCGTAAGAACTTTTTATTAGCGCCAAAATTTTTGTTATTTTTTTACTAAAAAGTTAGGGGGGGTCCCGTACAAATTTCGAAAATCGCCAAAATAACAGACACCCTAATATATATATATACATAACTAAATTATATTTAATGACAAAAATGGCTAATTCTCATCAAGAACATGAAAAATATACAAATTGTTAAATTGTATTTTCCAAATTAGATTATTTCTATAAAAATGCGTTACATTTATATCTCTATTTACATAAATACATTTTTTATTGCAAAATATATGTATTAAAGTTATCAATAATGCCTAATATACAAAATTATTGTTTAGTAGTTGAAACAGAAGCTTCCGCATCCTCGTTTGTTGTTTGTCGGTTCAACGATTTCAGCGATTTCGTAGATATTTGTTTAAGAAGAGTATAAATATCCTCTGGAGATACTTGTAACGCTAATAATTCCAATACAATTCTACAAATAGAAAGCAATGTATTGTGATAAAACCGTGTAGAGAGGTTACGTCCTGTAGATGAAATTTCACTTTTGACATATCGTCAATTGTCTTACCGAAAAACTCCAGGTACCGTGGAGATTCCTGTTATTTCGGCCAATTCAATCAGATCTTGCTGATGCGACTGCGAAAATGCCATTTTCCACGAAAATCATCGATCGAATAGATTCACAGACTTTTTGATTTAGCGCGCGAAGTTATTTACAGGCAAGCTTGAGATTCTACACAATTCATATCTGGCAATCGTCGCAATTTAAAGATTTCTTTTTGACAAGCTAGTAAATCACAGGAATGTCTACCATGAAGTAAGAGTAAGGATAGAGAAAAAAGTTGGTTACGAAAAATGTTCCGTGTACTGCCATGTCCGCCGAACGGAATAACTTGCAACATTTCATCGCCATATTGAATATTTATATGTGGCCCATGGTATGGTATAATAAGTAAGGTATAACAGTTGGTGGCGGCGCAGTAGACGACCAATAGGATGTTCCGGGTTTTGCGACTTATACGTCAAAGTGGGGAAGGCAAAAATATAAACAAATCCCGACGTGAAAGATAACCTAATTAAGATAACCTAAAAAAATGCTTCAACGACATCTAAAATTCAGCTAATATTTTACTGGATAAACATGTCAGATAAATATATATGTATATACATGTCGTACGACATTTACTATGTATGTACAAGAACTTTTGTATCATCTCTTGAGGCGGTGCAGCCGGTGCAGCGTATAGTACACAGGTGAATACGTATAACGAAAATAAAAAAAATGGAAATCGAAAGAAAAGAAAGCATTTTCTTAATAGATAATAATGATAATAATATTAATAATGATAATAATATTAATAATAA